CCCCAAAACCCCAAAACCCCAAAACCCCAAAACCCCGCCATCAATAATAGGCTTGGATTTAAAGAGTGTTTATAAATTAAATTTTGAATATGCAAAAGAAATAAGGAGGAGGTAAAGATCAACGCCCTAAAACTCCAAGAGCACAACCTCAGCAATAGCAACCAAATGAACCAGATGAAGCATTCAAAAAGTAATTTGAAGCTTAGACCAATGAGGAGCTTCAGAAGATGATAATCGAATTGGAAAACTAAGAGAAATCAGTTATGCAGAAGAATAAAGATATTAGAGCTGAGAATAATCTACTCAGAGCAATATTGATTGATGACTTAAATGTGACAATCTCATCCCATGATGTCCAGAAGAAGGAGAAGAAAGATAGGAAGGAGAAAAAGAATAAAGACAAAGGCGGAGATAAAGGCGATAGCAAGCATCAACAAGAAGAAGAAAAGAAGGGAAATGAGGCTAACCAGCCTTAAGAAAAGTAACACAATAACAAGTAGAAAAAGAATAAGCAGCCTAAAGATACTAATAATACTTAAGGAGGACCAAAAGATAATACTCAACACTAAGGCTCTGATATTAGACAAGTGCATATAGAAAAATAAGACAAAGGTGGCAAGTAAAAGAAACAGAAAGGAGGTGAATAAGCAGAGAAGCATTACGTTAAGAAAGGTTAATAAGAAAGCAGTCATAAGGAAGAGACTAAAGAAGGTGATCACAAGGAAGAGAAAGGGCAGAAAGCTCAACCAAAAAAGAAGGAGTTTGTTCCAGCCTGCTTCAAGGAAACTAGCGGTAATGCTGATGTTGACAAAGCCAAAGCAGATTTGCTTGAAGCTTACCTTGTCAATCAGATTCCATAGATTGAGGCAGCTCTCGAAAAAGCCTCTGCTCTCACTCATGAAGGCTAACTTGATAAAGTAATTGAAGCATGTAAAAACAGAATCGAAAGATTGCAACTTAGTGCTCCTTAATGACGAAGTTTCTTAATATGTATAATCAACTTATCCTAAATCATCATGCAAACCAGAATTAATGAATCAAGGGGTTTTGGGGTTTTGGGGTTTTGGGGTTTTGGGG